CAGACTATTGTGGGCACTGCCAGGGCAGTTCCACTTCCAAGCCTGAAAGTCAGGCAAGCTTAGTTTCAGTTTTGCTTCCTGCAATTCCAAGTGGAACTGGTTCAGGCACTGGATTTTTCCACCGTCATGGGCTGCCACAGCCTCCACCCCACCCTCCTCTCCCACTGCCCATTTGCAAAAAAAAAAAAACCAACAAAAAAAAAAAAAAAAAAAAAAAAAAAAAAAACCAACAGATCTTCACTTTTCACCTCGTTCTCTTCACTCGAAACAATGTTTTGTCTGGGGAGAAGCAGCAAGTTCTCTGTAACCAAGAGCTCAGTTCAGATGCCACGATCGAGCGACGTTTTAAACCTCTGACACAAAGCTTGAACCACAAACACAGCTTATATTTTTAGACTAAAGCCTTGTATGTGCTCGAAGTGGGTTGCTAATATGGAAAGAGGCTGGAGCGACAGGACAAGGGGAAACGGCCTTAAACTGAAAGAGAGTAGGGTTGGATTGGATATTAGGAAGCAATTCTTCCCTGTGAGGGTGGGGAGGATCTGGGATAGAATTCCCAGAGAAGCTGTGGCTGCCCCTGGATCCCTGGAAGTGTCCCAGGCCAGGCTGAACAAGGCTTGGAGCAACCTGGGCTGGTGGAAGGTGTCCCTGCCCATGGCAGGGGGTGGGATGGGATGATCTTTAAGGTCCCTTCCCACCCAAACCACGCTGTGACTCCCTGAAATGCCATCGAGCTTCCCCAGCCGAGCTCTTCTACAAGCACAGCTTGCAAAGCTACACCCAATACAAACACACACACATATATAAACAGACATGTAAACATACACATATACACATACATTTATATATATAGACATATGTGTACATATATATTTATATATACACACACTTCAATTTTTATATGTATTATATATTTTACACGTGTATACACACACACACACACACATATATATATATATATGTGAATAGTATATATAGCGCCCTTCAGCCCACTCCCCAGCCCAACAACCTCCAGGAAGCAGCGAGCAGAGGTGCAGCTACCCCTGCACCAACATTCCCCACCGCGGCACCGCCTTCATCCATCCCCTCGGCTGCCACAGCACGGGAGACGCTCCACGCGTGATTCCCCTCGACCCCAAACCCCCTGCCGGCCACCACCACCACCACCACCACCCCCCCGAGGATAAAACCACAGCGTCACCGTCGCTCCCCGGGGGCGCGGATGCGCATCCCCCCGTTGCCGTGGCAACCCGCCGCATCGCCGTCCCCGCGGGTAACCGCGGGCACGCGCACCCCGCGCGCACACACCCCCCCAACACCCCCGCGGCTCTATACCTGCGCCTCGCCGGTGCAGAACACCCTGCCGCCGACGCGGAGGCAGACGCGCTCGCCGGGGCGCGGGGGGCGGGCGCAGAAGGTGAAGGAGCAGCGGGAGCCGTGCAGGCCCCTCACGGTGCCGCGCACGAGCGCGGCCGCGCGCGGCCCCCGCCGCGCCCACAGGTACAGGTAGCACAGCGTGATCAGCATGGCGGGCGCGCGCCCCCCCGCCCCCTCCCCCAAGCCCCGCCCCTCCCCCGGAGCCGCGGCCAATCGCGGAGCGGGGCGTCAGCCGGGAGGGCGCGGCCCCGAGCTCTGATTGGCTGCCGGGGCCCGGCCCCGCCCTTTCGGTGCCGCCCTCACCCTCCCTTAGCCCTCCCCTCAGCGCTCGGTCGCGGTTCGCCTCGGAGCGTTTCTTGTCAGTGCACGGTTGGGTGGCGAAAGGGCGCGTAAAATTAATAAAAGTCGTCAAAATTATCGTTAAGCGTGGCTTGGGGCGTTGTGTTTGCGCTGGGATAGTTGTCCCTGTGCTCGAGGAGGAGGAGCAAGCGATGTCCGGGCGCCCCGAGCGCCACGACCCGGCCCCTCAGGGAATCGCGGAATGGTTTGGGTGGAAGGGACTGTAAAGATCATCAAGTTCCCACCCCTGCCATGGGCAGGGACACCTTCCACCAGCCCAGGTTGCTCCAAGCCCCGTCCAGCCTGGCCTTGGACAGGGATCCAGGGGTAGCCACAGCTTCTCTGCCCAACCTGTGCCAGGGCCTGCCCACCCTCCCAGCCAGGAATTCCTTCCCAATATCCAATCTAACCCTGCCCTCTGGCAGTTTGAAGCCATTCCCCCTTCTCCTGTCATTCCAGGCCCTTGGAAATAGTCTCTCTCCATCTTTCCTGGAGCTCCTTCAGGCCCTGCAAGGCCACACTCAGGTCCCCCCAAAGCTTCTCTTGTCCAGCTGAACAATCCCAGCTGTGCCAGCCTTTCCTCCCAGCAGAGCTGCTCCAGCCCTGGGATCCTCTTGGTGCCTCCTCTGGGCTCTCTCCAGCAGCTCCATGTGCTCC